AATCACCCCAAAACATTGTGCTCCTGGCCCCAGTCTGGCACCAAGCAGCTCCCATGATGGTGAGCAGGAGCATCATCTGCAGTGTTTCCATCTCACTGCTTGGTTTACAAACAATACTGCCTTGCCACAGAGACCACCTCCGAGTAAATGTTATTTACTTGTTTTTTTTCTGCACGATTTGCCATTGCCCCTCCACTAAATGAAGCTCCACATTCCTCGATAGATGTTTGCATTTTGCATGCCGCCTCTTTTCACACCTATTAAGCGATGCTCTGGTTAAATGGAAATCTGTGAGAGTGCTGGCAGTTGCTTCACTGCAGGGGGTTGTTTGCTGCCTACACTGGAATATTCAGGTGTTTGGACTGGCTGACAGGAAGATGCCCTTGTGAAAAATTATTTACCTAGGGCAATATTTCTCTACTGAGCTCAGACTGCTCACATCATCTCACATCTGACACTAAAAATACCCTGGCTGCCCCAGCTTTGCTCCCACCCTACACGGCCATTTGCAAAGTTATAGGGCACCTATTTTTGTCCCTAAAAATACCTGAAATACCCTCACACCTTTAATTTTTTCCCATTTTCTTACATTTTCTACTGACCCTTTAGGAATGTGCTGCGCTGGGGTTTGAAGCACTCTGAACTGCTGGGACCAGCAGTTCCCAATTGGTTCTTTTTTTCCCCCCCATCTTTCCAGACATGAATAATTACCAACCCAATGGTTATTTTAGCATCATTATAGGAGCCTCTCAGACTAGCTGGTCATTTACAGATTAGATAGACATTGCTTACATTGTTCATAACTGATTATGAGATTGACAGTTTGGCTTTCACCCAAAATTTGAAGTCCCAATTTAGCGTAATTGGAACCGAATAGCTGAGCAGACTGGGGGAAGGGAATAGTGGCTGCTGACAATTTAGTTAACTCTGATTTTATTGATGCCTGAAAAGCCTTTGATGTTGCAGGTTACTCTTTATAGGGCAATAAAGTTTATAGTTTGGGTTGTCCTGGGGGAGTAACTTCTACGTGTCTCTAACTGCTCTCAGGAGATTGCAGAAGCCATTGCCAACCCCAGCCTCAGTTTGCTCATGAATAATCAGAATCCAAGCAAAAAGCCAAAATACAGTTCTTATCTTGGAATAAAAATTACAGAAAAACAATGATGAACAAATTAAAAAGTAATCCTGTACAAGTGTAGGATTTTATTGCTTAAAAAAAGCCTTTCTAATTATCGTATTGTGTTCCCATCCTATTCTTTTGTTTAATTCTTCCATTTCTTCTTCATAATTTTGTCCCACAAAATATTGGGATTTCTGATGTTCACTCTTAACATATTTATAGTCTTTTGTACATCTATTCTCACAATTGCTCTCTGGTGTAGGCTGGGATTGGTACTTTTAAAAGCACAAGAAGATCAAGTGATTTGTCCAATGCAATAAAAATATCCATGGCAGGAGAAAACAGATTCAGGATCCCCAACTGCCAATGCTAGTGATAGACCAGTGAAAGTTTGGCCAGAGCCACTGGCCCTGCTGCTAAAACACCAATTAAAAGATACCTTGCCCTGAAGCATAAGATGAGCAGGATGGAGCTGAGGAACCTTCAGCAGGCACAGTGCTGCTCAGCTGGGCAGGGAAGCCCAGCACAGATGTGAGAGCAGCAAGGCCACTGAACAAAGGCAAATGTTTAGGCAAGTCCCAAGCAGGCACCAGGTGGGTTTCAAACTGCAGCCCCAGGAACCTGAGTAATTGCAAGCCAAGACGCTGGGGGCATTTCTAGAGGGGGCTGAGGGCATTTTTTCCCATCCCAACCTCTACTCTCCTTCCCTCTGACCACTGGATTATCTATAACGTACAGGCAGAGCTCTGGTTCCTGGTCCTGTGGCTTTGAGCTCATTTGTCAAGCCGAGAGATCTTTATGAAAGGCTGTTAGCAGAGCATTTACTTCCCATTTCTCATCCTACGCTGTCATCAGCTTCCAAGATTAATTAAGGAAAAAAGAAAAGACATCTTGTCTCTCTTTTGTTTCCCCCTTCCTTGTTGTTTTTTTTTTTCTTTACATCCCCTTTCTCTTCATTCATGTCCAGAATATTGCTGGGGAGCAAAACGAGCAAAACTCAAAACTTTCCTCTTCCCTCTTGTGGATAATATATCAATTTTCTTTTTTTTTTTGCCTCTCTGTAAGTGGAAGTGGTTGGGTGAGCTTTGTCCTGAACATCAATTCTCTCACATGGCCTCAGCTGCTAAAGCTAAGCCAGGAAAGATCCCAAATCCATTGACTTATGATAGCTTTAAGTGCTCATTTCAGACTTACGGCACCAGTCCCAAGGGTCGGTGTCCTGTTCCTGAATCACCTCCAGGGTTGCACAATGCTATCCATCTTGCTCACCACGGGTAATCGGGTGCTTTTGTTCAGGCACCAGTTCATATATGAGCTCCTTGTACCATTTACTTCTATTAGGAGCCATAACCTATGCTTATCTGGTGCGATAGTCTCTTCCACTGTCTTGTGTGCCTAAAAATCCAAATGCAGTGCTGTGTTTGCTGTAGCTCAGGCTATTTAGTCTGCTTCTGAGCCCACCCTGCTCCCAGCTGTGTAAGCAAATTATACCAGTCCTACTCCTTGCCCTGCCACCTTCCCAACCCAGCTCCCTTGGTCCCCACTCCATCCACATGCTTCCTGAGCTCCCATTAATCCAACTCCAGTAACACCCTTCTTGGGTGACTCCTTTTCACCCTTTTACACCTTTTATTCAGTGGCAAATTCACATGTTGTGTTATACAGAGATTAATTTTGCAGTCTGACTCTCCTAGTGGCTCTGCTTCTCCCCCCAGTCTGACCAGTTCACCCAGTGGCTGGCTGTACCTGACCTGCAAGTTCCCAGCACACTCCCGTAAGATGGTGCTTTTGGTCCCTCTTTTGGTGGCACAGGGAGGAGGAGATGCCTTCTCAGGCATGTGTCATTGCCACACACAGAATAAAGATGAGAAACAGTGGATCCTTGGCCAACGTAAATCAATATGGAACTCCCATCACCAGTGGAATTAAGCTTACTACCAGCCGGGGAGTAACCCAAAATGCTGTTCATTGGAGCAAAAGAAATTTCTGCAGTAATTAGATCTGGAGCATGATTACCCAAAGGGAAACAAAAAACAAATGCGAGTGACAGATATTTCCAGGATAACTGCAGTTATTAGTGCTTTTCTCTACCAGTGACAGACACAAGGGATTAGTATTGCCTGAAAAAGTCTGGTTTACTGTGGGAAAAAATGAGGGCTGGAAATGGAGCAAGTAGAAGTCCATATGCTACTCGGTGTGCTTGTAAGGTCCTGGGAGAATAGCTTTAGCCAAAACAACAAAAGGCAAATATGTGAGGCATATGTGAGAAGAAACATGAACCTGTTGCTTGTAAGTTTCCAGTTAAAAATAAAGTTTGCTCTGAATTAGTGACCTTACTTGTGAGTGCCCTGGCACTGCTTAGCACACGGGGTGAGTCCTGGACTACAGAGCTGGGGCTTGGGGTAAGCGTTTTCAATTTAAATGCCTTTTCCTACTGCCTTGTGTTATTTGGGTAGTAGCATGAAATACCAGCCCTCCCACTCATACCTGCACCAGCAGATCTTGGCACGAAGGAGGTGTCCATCACCTCTGTGCAGCTGGTACGGCAGTGCCAAGCTGCTGCAGAGACCTTCTGTCTACAGCACAGCACTGCAAGAGATCTGGTGCTTCCCAGTAAAGTAACAGTAGAAAAAGCATGAGCTGGCCCACGTCCTTGCTGCACAGCTTGGGCAAGCAACCACGAGCTCCAAGTGTGACTAAGCATGGCTGAGAGCTGCATGTAGGCTGGTAAGGGCATGGGAATAGCACGGGCTAATCCACCCTACGGTTTGCTTTTGGGTGTGTGCACTTGTAAATGCCAACTCTGCTCTGAGAGCATCACTCAGCACGTCTGGCTTCCATGAACCATATGTGCTCACTCAAAACCATCAAATTCTTCTTTTAATAAAAAGTTTGCAAGCAAGTAAGGCTAAAAAAAAACCAGCACTAAAATAAGAGCAAGGTTGAGGGTTTTTTTCTTTTAAATATAAGAAGTGCTGACATCCAGCGAGTAACAAGATTGATTTCTAGCACAGTTGTTTGTCAATAGGCACAATTTAGACCAGAAAGTTTGTTTTCTGGCATTTGCTGTGGTCTGTATTCCCCGTGGGTGCTGGAAACAGCCTGGCAGAGGCTCCACCAACCCATGGCCCCATCTCTGCCTGCTGCTAGATGATTCAGGGAAAGCTCAAGACCTTCATAGCAGGCAGCTGTATGATAACTTGTCCACATTGAGCTGAAATTTTAGCTAAAAATCAGATATTTAATAGAGCATCCAAAACACATGGCACCATCAGGGCTCCTAAGCATAATCAGTCATCTTACCTGATGAAAAGCCACTTATGTTTTCATCTCCCCTATAGATTTGACACAATGGGCAGCTCTGCAGCTGGGGTGCATACATGTGGTTCTGCTGAGTCAGGTCTTATGTTTAAAGCATACTGAAAGCCTATCTGCCCTCATGGCAGGGGTTTGGAACTAGATGGTCTTTAAGGTTCCTTCCAACCCAAACCATTCTGTGATTCTATGATGATTCTATGATCTGTCCTTTGGGTGGCAAATTGTAAAGCATCCCACCAGTACTGGGGAGGAGAACACCCATCACCTGGCTGCTTAGGTGACAATCAGGTGTGGGAAGCTACTGGGGAGGTTGGAATTGCCATGGCTCTGGGAAGCATCAGCATTTCAGATGCGGCCTTCCCCCATACCAGTAACCATCACCAGACAGCCCCACCTACTACAAATACCTCATTCCACAGGATGTCTGGTGTATTCCAGCTTTCGAGGCATTTAAGGATGATTTGGCCTTTTTTACAATAAAATCCAAGTCTGACATGAATTAACTTTTGATGCTGAGACTCTGGTTCTCCACAGGACACCTAGCCTGAAAATATGGGAAAGGAAGATAGTATCTGTGATTACCCACCTGGCACCTGTGTCAACTTTCACAAGAACTCATGGATGAGATAATGCTTTTTTAAGAATGTTACTTACCTCTTCTCTCTACTTCAAATGGGTCTTGAAACGTCCCTTCAGATACCAGGCAAATGCTAAAGCCTGGGCTGAAAGCAAAGTGCAGCCTCCTCCTACAAGACATATTCAGTTAGAAGCCAAGCATCTTATAAGCAATAGTCAGAAAATGACATAAACACCAACACCACAATGCTGAGAAGAGCAGCAAGAAAAACTTCTTCTTCCCAAATCTGAGAACTACTTTTGTTTATGGGTGGAAAAATCCTCCTCTAGTTGTTACCTAGCAGAATATTTCAATAAACACAGGACTGCCTCTGTCTCTCCTTTAGAAAACGGTGACTTTTCTATTTGACCTGAAAACTGAAAGTCTTTGGCCAAAAGATAACAAAACACAGAGGATGGTGGGTGCAGACTGTTGGGACTCCAATTTGGTATGGCTCTTCTTTGTCTAAAGCCAATTCCTACCCCACCACCACCAATCCCACAACCTCCAAACCCTCTATGATTCCATAGCTCAATATTCTGATGAAGAAAACTCAGATAGCTGGAAAGATGCAGCCCAGGTAGGAGCTCCTGGATCTTTTCCTATGGGAAAGCCAGATATTTATTTAGAAACTGGACTGAATCACTACAGACGCAGGGGAATGTCAGAATATTCCACAAGTAGGAAGAGGAAGGAATACAATTGTCTCTGCAGTCTGTATATAGTGAATAACCCACAACCTGGGCAAAGCAGAAGTTGTAATACAGCCAGTCAAAGAAAAGCACTGCTAAATCTGTGTTTACAGAGGGGAATAGCACTTTGTGCCTTGGTCAAATCATCTTCAAGCAGACAGTGTAAACCGAGCACTGATACATCAGGTAGCAAAGAAAAACATAACACAATACTCGAGAAATATAAGGAAGGATAGTGAGAACCGGGCAGATGTGTCATTCCCTGAATATGGTCACCTGGAAACAAAGCATCTTGACTGAAGTAGTCAATATGCTAGGAGAGACTGGTGTTGCTGGTGCCAATCTCCTTCTGAAACACAAGGGAACCACAACATGGAATTTAGGCTTAAAACCTCAATATTGAATGGCTGAAATTAGATGAATGAGCCCCCTCCCACATGCTGTGTGAATGATTTGCAGCAGAACAGAGGGATATGACGAATTAAAGTCTTTGCAAATTCCCGCTTGAAACCATCCAAGAACTGCTTTCCAGCAGAGATACATTCTGGGGAGGATAGAACTAAATTTTGCTGCATATAGACTTGTACAGTCCTGCCAGTTCCCATTATAATGCCTTTATTTATTGTCTCTTAAACACAAATGTGAGATAACTTCAATAGGCAAAGAAGTAGTTTTGCTCAGTTGGCCAAGACTGCCACTTTTAAAAATACTTTAGAAGACACTTAAATTAGGGGGGAAAATGCAGAAAGTTCTCTAAAAAGGGACAGAATAAATTTAGAAATCAGCTTCAGAAGTGGCTGGATTCTGAAAATGTCTACAACTAAAAATAGAGGGGAAACAGATGAATTTTTTTCACCCCTCTTAATTATATTCTCTCTAGTGTTTCACTCCTCACATTGGGGTCTTTTCTAAGTGTACATCCAGCCTACGAGCCTGTGCATGGTAAACACTTTTGCTGTTATTCTTGACTAACTGACAGCCCTGGGAGCCATCCAAGCACAACCACAACAAACTCTAGTAAGCCAAAAGCGAGCATCAATACCAAAATGCCTCAGAGCTGGCTCGGAGCAATGTCATGCCCAAATTCATTCCTGCTTGTGGGACTGTCACCTGTATAAGGTCCCTGAGCCACAGAGATTCTGGGAGTTTCTTGGATAGGATCTGGAAGGAGGAAAGCCCTAGTTCCAGTGTCTGTCTCTGCTGAAAGCATATTTTGGGGTGTGTAAACTGTAAAACTGGCTCATCGCTAACCACATCTGCCTTTTTGCACCATTGTGCCATCTGTTTGTTGATGGCACTTTACAGCTCTAATGCAGATGAACCCTGCTGCAGCACCATGACCCAAACCAGAGTCTCTGGGTGAAAGCAGGGGAGGCATTTTTTGACCCTTTGACTTTAGTGATAAGGGTGACAATGACAAGAGCATCAGGGATCTCAGCACACCCTGGCTGTTTCCCAGCAGCTTAGCTTGTGGAAAGGTTTCTGCTTTAGACTTACCAGCTGCTTGGCATTTGGGAGTACTCCAGCGTCAATCAAAGCTGGACGAATTAATGCAGAAAAAAAAAGAGAATCTGTGATGAATTCATCCTTCACTGTGGCATTAGCACAACCCTAACCCTGCCCCTCTCCTCCTCATCAGCAATGAAAAATGCATCCTCTCTGCCAACAATTACCTGTTCCGGCTCACCCCTCTGAACGCCGGCCCTGCTGTAAATGCTGTGCCCACAGCAGTGATGGATAAGCCCTGGCTCGGCCCTGCCACACAGCCATCTGCCATCCCAGCTCCCTCCCTGCGCCCCACCAATTGACACTCTCGTTCCTTTGCTGCGGATCAAGGGCAAGCAGGGAAAAGAAATGGCAGTGGTAAAAGGCGCCTGGAAAAGTGTGAATTAGCCCACAGAAAAGAAGAGATGAATGAAAAGGCATAGGGCACGGGAAAAAGGGAAGGTGAAAAAATGGAAGGAGATGCAGGCAGGGACTACCATGCCTGTGTCTATAACCCTCACTGCTGGGAGCAGTCATGTTCCCCCCTATGCTTAATTAGGCTCTTGATGGCATGTTTGCTTGCTCTTGGCAAGCCCTCAGTGCCCGGATGAGAATGCTCTTGAGCTCTCCCTAGCTGACAAGCCGCTCATCACCCACCGTGATCTACAAGGCACAGCAGAACAGGGCACTGGATTAAATTATTCAAATGGCAGCTGTCAAGAGCAAAATTAAACAGTGAGATGCTGAGCAGTTAAAAACTCCTTTAGGGGCAGGGTGACCAAAGCAGAAAGCATCTTGGTAGCATCTCCATTTCTTTTATGTTTCATTGTTCTACAGGATGCAGCAAGGTGTTTGAGGTTGGGAAGCTTTACATGGAGATGTTTGGGAAGTCTTTGGAAACCTCCCTCCATCCTTAAGGAGAGAGAGATGCAAGCCTCTGAGAAACCACTGCTTTGCTGACAGAACTTTTCCAGGCTGGGTGGATTACTTCCACCACCAGAGCAAGCTGAGAGGGACCTGGCTGTCCAAAACCCCTCCCAGCCCATTATCTTTCAGGTTTATCATGTATTTCAGACCTTCAGTCTGGGAAACTCTGCTTTCAAGCAGAATCACTTTGGATGGTAGTTGGTTATTTTCACTAAAAGCTCTGGATTAAATTTATAATAGTAATAAATGCATTTTGGTTCATGGGTTTGATCCCAGATTTACCCCGAGCTGCTCAGGTGAGAGGAATCTTTATGTTTGAGCTGAAATCCTTCTTCCATCAAGATTTATACAGAAAAAGCATACAGCAGGGGAGAGGCTGGCACTTCTAAAGATGTTCTGAAAACACTCACACAAGCAGGAAAATGTCCCACAAGAATTATTCCCTCAGTGCCAGCCATGCCAAAACCCAGGACACTGTCCTTGCCCATCTGTCAGCTCTGCTTCTGATACTGAACAAATCACATTTATGGTTGTCATAGATTTAGAGAAAGCTGCACAAGGGCCATAATATGGTGAGCCCCGTTAAAATGAGAGATAAACCATTCTCTGTTTCAAGGCGCGCTATAAACACCAACATGCCTCTCAGGGAAGCTGGAGAAGAGGCACAGCAGTATCTTGCTTGCAATTGTCCGTCTGGATGAGACCACGTACCAGCTACCAGCAGCAATGATAAGAATCTCTTGAGACAGGTGGGGAGAATAAAAGCAATAAAATGTTTCCTCAACATGAAGCTTTCTCCAGCATTAGTACAATAAGAATTACTTGAGAGGACCCCAGTTAGTCCTTTCTGGGGGTGGGAAGAGCTGGGTTTACTCTGTCCCTTCTACTTCAAAAGTGAATTTGACAATAATGCTATAGAGAAGGCTTTCAAAGGCACATTTGGCCCCTGCAGAAGTCAGGACAAGTAGTGATGCATTAGGGATCAGGATTTTTTTCATTCCAAAAGCATATTTTGGAAAAACACATTTTTCTCCAAGTTTCAAAGGTTTTGAGTCTTTTTATCTAGAAAAGATGTGTGTTGTCTGGTAGACAAAAGTTTGGGAGTCAAAGAAAAAATGGTGGCAACAAAGAGAAAAATTACATTTCCCTTTACTCTGTTTTTTAGAGCTTCCTAATTTTGCAAGCCACCTTAACACTTGTAAGCTAAAATATTATTTTTAAAATAGAGAAACAGTCTCCTTCCTTCCTTCTCTTCCCCCAGTCCTCCTCTCACACTTTTTTCTCTAATAGAAAGGGACGAATTTGACGTTTTGGGATATATTCCTTGCAGGAACTGTAGAAATGCCACCTGCTACCTGCGTGCTAGCTTTGATCACAAATCAACAGCACCCAGTACTGTACAGGATCTCTTGATATTTTAATGGGAAAAAATGGCTGGCCACTAATAGCAATACATCCTGAATTGCACAGCCTACGGTTTTCTGTAAATGCCAAACACTACCTTGCTATTTATATCATTCTTAATTGCACCTCCTTAATTACAAGAAGCAAAATAATTCATTATATTCAGTTAAAAGACCTCTAAAACCTTGCACTTCAGGCTTGGCTCTCTTGCAAGTGCAGAATTATCATTGGGAAGAGCATTTAGCAGCTCTGTGCCCAAACTCCTCTTCATCCATGCCAATGGTAGGAGACTTGCTCAATCCCCACCTACTGGTACCATGTACTGTTGATGAACCAACTGAGCATGAGTAGCTCAAGCCTTCTGCTGAGCCCAGCTGCCAAAAGCCGAGCTGGAGAACACAAGTACTGCTGACCAGAACTGGAGGGCTGCAGGGTCTCTTAACACTGGTTCCAGAAGTCCTGCTGTCACTAGTGGGATATTGGGATAAATGCTCACATTTCTCAGCTGAACTCCCAGAAAAGTCTTAATTTGGCGAAAAGAGTCTAAGGGACCTTGCATCAATCTGAAAGTGGAGATCCTTCCTCCTCTCGGCCCTTGGATAACCAGGCACCTCCTGACTTGCCATGAAGGACAGGAAGGCACTCCTAAAAATTTCTAAAGCACTGTCCTACAAGGCTCCCTCACATCCTCTTCCTTCAGGCATTGCTGCAGACCAGTGTCCACAGACACAGGCAAAAAACCCACCCAACCTAGTGCCAAGAAGGATACTAGTATCAGTCAATGTGACAGTGGGGGAAACAAAGATACCTGTATTTCCAGGAGCTTCTTTTGTAATTATTATATCAGCCACCATGGCCAAGTTAAGTTGAGGGACTCACTTAACTTGTGTATTACAGAGCTTAAAACACCAGGTTAAGATCCACACACTGGCTGGCTGCTTTCCTGTCAAAAAAACAGAGACCAAATGGTTGGGTACTCCCCTAAGTCTCATACCAGGTAATATAGCCACCTGCAACACCCCTGAGTGAGTTGGGAAGCCTCTCTCCATTGGTGAATTCCCCTTGCCATAGGCTACAGTTCCTATGCTTTTAATGGGTTATAAAACTGAACCTGCACTGAAATAAGACATGTTTGCACTGTTTTTCTTGAGAAGCCAAGTGACCACAACCTTTCTGCTCAGTGCTGCATGGCTGGAAGAAAATTATGTTCAGCTTCCAAGGGTTCAAACTAGGGGAGGAAAGAAAAGAAATATATATAATTAATTGGATAATGCTAGTTTGAGCCCAGGCCTTAAACTTACGAAACACAAATACATCCTCTATAAGGAGCCCTGTTTGAAAGCAGAGACATTGACCAGCATGTGCAAGTGGGGCAGAGCTTCCTAGGGCTGCAGCATCCTGTCTGAAAGGGTGCTTCCAGACAGTAGATCTACTACAGCATCTTTTCACCGTCTGTTACCTCACTTCTCTGAGGACCAGGATATGGCAAGAAGCCCTGAATATAGCTCTCAGTGCTGAGGGTTCTTCTGACATTGGGAGACGAGCATCTTGACCGTCTTTGGGCCAAGCTGTATTATAAACAGCACTAGAGCTACTCACAAGTCTTCAAAGTTTCCACATGATTATGTGAGCAAATATTTGGACTGGAAGTGCTGTTAGTCATTATTTGCAGTTCATTTTCTCTTATTTGTTCTCTGTCTTTTAAATAATAAAAAAGAGAAAGCCAAGATGACAGCTCACAGTGTTCACAGAAACAACACCTGGTTTTTTGAGCAAATGCCTCGCATGCAGCCAGCCAGCCTCTGCAGCTCCCTGGGAAATGCTGCAGCAGGGGCAGCCTGTGCCAGGCAGGAATTGGCCTCTTGTTCACAGCCACACTGCTGGGTACCACAACTGCTGCAGCAATAACAGGCCCTGAGCATCCACTGTAAAAATCCCTGCTCCTGGACTGGCTGTGCTCCTGCACAGACCTTTCCTGGATTTGGTATTCTGGGGCCAGGTCCCTGTTTCCAGGCTTCCCTGGATTTGGAGGTTTCACTGCTTCACTGCTATTTGGAACCTAATTTGGAGGCCTGATCTTAGCAACAGCTGTTAGTCAAGCTCAGGGTTTAGCACCATTAATCACATCAGAAGGCAGAGGTGTTACCGACAGCAGGAAATACTGCAGCTGGTGGCAGGTGTCTGCAGATACAGCCCCCAAACATGTCCACCAAGGAAGAGTTTACACCTACCCATGTAAGTGTAAGGCTCCCTGGGCACAGAGGCACAAGAGGAGCTATACAGTAGTAGAAGAGCTCCATGGTAATGCTGGCATCAAAACTTACTCAGGCATCTTTGTATCAAAAAAACCCACCTTTCCAAAACACCTACAAATTATATTTCCAGCAGCCTATTTCTCTGTGTCTCCAGTACCTTATGCCTCCAACTTTGTTGAAAGCAATACGTACCAAGTGCTGGAAGAAGCACTGGGCAACAGCTAGAGGTGAGCCAGCACTTCAGTACAGACAAGCTGAAAACAAAGTGTGGTATTCTTCCTTTTGGCACACTCATGGCTTAGCAAATGCAGGGAGCCAGGACCCAGAGCCTGGATCTGGTACCTTCTGCATTAGGGTCATTTCTGTCTATCCTAACACCTTGCTTCCCAGACATGAATGGATGAAGTGGCTTCTTTCAAAAGGAAGTCTTGTTTACCCCGGAAAATGTGGACAGAACATGTCAGTTTAACTTAAACTCTCTGGAAGCATTTTGATTTCAACAGAACATCTCCCCAGAAGGCAGAAACATCTTGGGGCGGATATTTCTGCTCTGACACCCGTTCCCTCAGGTCTGAGTCCACAGGGGAGACCAGCAATATACAGAACCACAGCAAAACACTCTCAAACCACATTCAAGCCCTTCCATCTCCAGTGAGATATTTTTGGCTTTACATGGTCACTTGCAGAGTAGAAAGGATCTTGTTTCTGTGGAGAGCATATACTTATTACAAGCGTTTGTGCTGAGAACAAATAGGCCTTTCCGTGGGAATGACTTCAAATATCCTTGCTGGGAAGGAAAAGAGAAAAATCCCAAACTGGGAGAAATACTTGGCCCAACAGAAATAAAGTTAATGTAATATGGCAATATCCCAACCAGCTTCTGTTTAGCAGATAGTCTCTCCTCTGACTCATGTATTGATGTGGCTATTAATAATGCACTGTTATAAAAATCCATCCTTGTAGGAGGAAGGATGCTGTCAAGACTCAAGCAATTCCTTGTTTTCAGTGAAATATGGGTAACATTTGTGTTGTGTTTTCAATTCCTCTTTTCAGGTTATTTTCCATTTCCACTTTAATAATAATCTTTATGCCTAAAAAAAGCATCTCACTTTTACAGTTGGGATGACCTTTTATATTACGTGTGGATTAGCACGGAACAGCAACTTGTTCAGTTTAGAGCTGACAGTAAGTACTGCTGCTTTTACCTCTGTCACTTTTATCAGTTTAAGTTGTTCTCTGTTACTACAAGTTTGCTCATGGGGAAACTGAGGCAGACAGCAAGAAAGCCACTTACTTGGCATTGTCAGCATGGTAGGGTCTAGGAGCAAGGCTAAGGATGCTGTGCTGGTTAGGGGATGCTATCTTCCTTGGAAACACAACCCAGGAGTCCTGAAAAATGTAATTCATTTAATCATTAGCATTTCTTTGAGATTTTCTCCCCTTTCTTACCCCAAAATAGTGAAAATTGTCTCTCTGAAGAGGGGCTTCTCTTTCATATAGAGAATCATTGCAGTGTTACAAAAACGCCTGTTTCTTCAAAAAGCCATGGCTTGTAATTAATGGTCTTTGGTACAGCACCAACAGGCCATTTTTAATTGAGGTTTCAGGCTCAGTCCAGCTGGGGATATTTCCTGTTCAAGCTGCCATAAGTAACCCTCTTAATTTTGTACTTTCTGGGAGCATTTGAATCCAGTAAGGACTACAGCATCAAGTACCACTTGATTTTAATATTAATAGCAGCTTTTTCTGATTCTGGAATTATCTGGCTTAGTTTAGGAAATATATTCTCCATGGCAAAGTCCTCATTCCTTGTTTTACAATGGACTCCTGGAATATTTCAGTATTCCTGTTTCCTTGCACTGCCTTCTCCAAGAGCCCATGCTAATATTTGCTAAAATACTATAGGAACCACTTAGCAATTTCAAGCAGGATGTTTTTCTTGGCCCAATAGAGTAAGTGTCCAGATGCTTTCTCCAAAAGAAGTCAAAGTGGTGCCATATTAAATGCTTAAAACTTTTAAAGAATAATTACTCCCTTCACCCAGCACACCTATCAGGGCTGATAGAAACGGGGATAAATGCAAGCTCAGCATTACAGCTGCAATCCTACTCAGGCCATTGCTTCTCAGAAATCAACCTATATGCACTCAAAGAGATCAGATTTTCTTGCTGCAGGGTTCAGGGCTATCCTTGAAATAATTTATACCTGCAGAAAGCTAGTAAGTCCTCCATGCTGCAGCCAAATGGTGGAGAACAATCAGATAACCGAACCACCACACTGGAGGCACCTCGGCGTGATAAGCCAAGGGAAGAAACAGCAGCGCTGCTCCCAAGAGTTCAAAAATCTTCAGTCAAATCAGGCAAGCAGGAAGAGCAGCTTAAAAACTGAGAAGATATTAAAATAATCACTGAATCCTTCTTGGTCATTTTTCTCCTCCTTTTTTTGGGTGCAGTGGGGTTCTGGAAAATGCACATCCCAAATTACAGTTCGATTGTAAGCCCTCTCTATCATGTGACCCAGAAGAAGAATGATTTTAAATGGGGCCCTGAGCAGCAACAAGCCTTTGAGCAAATTAAACGCGAGATAGTTCATGCAGTAGCCCTGGACCAGTCCGGACCGGGCCAGATGTAAAAAATGTACTGTACACTGCAGCTGGGGAGAACGGTCCTACCTGGAGCCTCTGGCAGAAAGCTCCAGGGGAGACTCGAGGTCGACCCCTGGGCTTTTGGAGTCGGGGATACAAAGGATGTGAGGCCAGCTATACCCCAACTGAGAAAGAGATACTGGCAGCCTATGAAGGGGTCCCAGCTGCTTCGGAAGTGATTGGCACTGAAGCACAGCTCCTCCTGGCACCCCGGTTGCCCGTGCTGGGCTGGATGTTCAAAGGCAGGGTCTCCTCTACACATCATGCAACTGATGCTACATGGAGTAAATGGGCTGCACTAATTACACAACGAACTCGAATAGGAAATCTCAGTCGTCCAGGCATTCTAGAAGTCATCATGGACTGGCCAGAGGGCAAAGATTTCGGAATGTCACCAGAGGAGGAGGCGGTGCGTGCTGAAGAGGCCCCACCATATAATGAACTGTTAGAAAGTGAAAAGCAGTATGCCTTGTTTACTGATGGCTCTTGCCGTATTGTGGGAAAGCATCGGAGATGGAAGGCAGCTGTATGGAGCCCTGGACGACAAGTTGCAGAAACTGCTGAAGGAGAGGGTGAATCGAGTCAATTTGCCGAGGTGAAAGCCATCCAGCTGGCCCTGGACATTGCTGAACGAGAAAAGTGACCAGTACTTTATCTCTATACTGACTCATGGACGGTGGCAAATGCCCTGTGGGGGTGGTTGAAGCAATGGAAGCAGAGCAACTGGCAAAGCAGAGGTAAACCCATCTGGGCTGCTGCACTGTGGAAAGATATTGCTGCCAGGGTGCAGAACCTGGTGGTGAAGGTACGTCATGTAGATGCCCATGTACCCAAGAGTCGGGCCACTGAGGAACAGCAGAACAATCAACAAGTGGATAAAGCGGCTAAGATTGAAGTGGCTCAGATGGACTTAGATTGGCAACATAAAGGTGAATTATTTTTGGCCCGGTGGGCCCATGACACTTCAGGCCATCAGGGCAGAGATGCAACATATAGATGGGCCCGTGATCGAGGGGTGGATTTAACAATGGACACTATTGCCCAGGTTATTCATGAGTGTGAAACGTGCTGCAATTAAACAAGCCAAGCGGTTAAAGCCTCTTTGGTATGGAGGACGATGGTTGAAGTATAAATATGGGGAGGCCTGGCAGATTGACTATATCACACTGCCACCAACCCGCCAGGGCAAGCACCATGTGCTTACCATGGTGGAAGCAACCACCGGGTGGCTGGAAACATACGCTGTGCCCCATGCCACTGCCCGGAACACTATCCTGGGCCTTGAGAAACAGATTTTGTGGCGACACGGCACCCCAGAGAGAATTGAGTCAGACAATGGGACTCATTTCCGGAATAACCTTATAGATATTTGGGCCAAAGAGCATGGCATTGAGTGGGTATATCACATCAACTACTATGCACCAGCCTCTGGGAAAATCGAACGGTACAATGGGCTGTTAAAAACTACACTGAGAGCAATGGGTGGGGGAACTTTCAAGCATTGGGATACACACTTACCAAAGGCCACCTGGTTGGTCAACACCAGAGGATCTGCCAACAGGGCTGGCCCAGCCCAGTCAGAACTTTTACATATTGTAGAGGGGGACAAAGTTCCCATGGCGCATATGAAGAATTTGCTGGGGAAGACAGTCTGGGTTGGTCCTGCTTCAGGTAAAGGCAAACCCACTCGTGGGATTGCTTTTGCTCAGGAACCTGGATATACTTGGTGGGTAATGCGGGAAGATGGGGAAGTCCAATGTATACCTCAAGGGGATTTGATTTTAGGGGAAAACAGCCAGTGAACTCAATTGTATGCTGTTGCCTGCTGTGTAATACTTTGATAGCCCATCAACTAGATGTCTCCAGGTCACCAGCAACTAGCCCTGACTTCCTTCTAACCATCATCCTAACAGAGAATGAACTTTGATAGAACCAGATGAGTTCCGCAGTAAAGGAACGACCAGCATCAGCAGGCAACGATCCAATACTGCACACAGCCTTTCCTGCCCTGAAAGATTGTTACAAGAGATGGAACCTGACATCATGGACCAAATGGACTCAGCAGCATTATAGGAATTGGTCCATGCACTAAGAAAATGATTTTTTTTTGTTTTGGTCTGTGTGTATATGGATGTATGTATGTGGGAGAGCGATGGTGTATTGAAAATGTGGGATCTGAGCATGATGTGAATGGTATGGAATAAGGGGTGGATAACTTCCTGGGTTCAGCAGTGCTGTGTTTTGACTTCCAGCTTGGGAACAGTGCTGGTGATACCGATGTTTTCAGTTGTTGCTAAGTGATGTTTACCCTGACCAAGGACTTTGTGAGGCTCATGCTCTGCCAGGGAGAGGGGAAGCCAGGAGGAAGCAGAGACGGGGCGCCTGACCCAGGCTAGCCAAGGAGGTATTCCATACCACAGCACGTCATGCCCGGGGTGGGGGGTAACTGGGAGTTACCCGGAAGGACAGGGGCTTCCGGGTGGGACTCGTTTCTTGGCCGGTGGTATCGTATTCTCTTCCCTTGTTATTTTCTCTTATCATTGTTGTTGGTGGTGGTAGCGGTGGTTATTTGTGTTGTACATTGGTTGCTGGACTGTTCTTGTCTCAACCTGTGGGAGTTGCACTCTTTTGATCCTCCTCCCCATCCCTCCAGAAGCTGGGAAGGGGAGAGCCCCGGGAGGGGGGGCCTTGATTGCTCTCAGCCCGGCACCACTCACTGGGAGTGAGTGAACAAGATGTCTGGCTAGGGTTTAAACCATGATATGTCCAAAGAAGGAGATGCCAAAGAACAAGGGGGAAAGGAACCCACAGACAAGCATCAAGCTCTTCCTCATGCACGACCTAGCACCATCAGCGGGGTGGTCCTGCAGGCGGGAGCATGATGTGCACATTTGTGAGGTCTTTGTCTGCTCAGATTGCATCATCCCTTGGTCATCCTGGTGTGGCCAGCAGGGCTTGGAAAGGCAGGACCAGCTCGCATTGCTTCTCCTCTTCATCCATGGCACTCAGCTTTGGGCCGTGAGCTGATCATCTGGGGACTGCAGGAGGACCAAGCCCTTGGTGCTCATGTCTTGCAGCCCTTAGAAAACCTCCTCTCTACTGGGGCAAACATTCCGTTATTAGAAGTGATCTCCATCAGTAATTTTTTATCCAGAAAGTGTTTTAATATCAAACAAAACACATGCTTAGGGTTTTCAGTCTGCTCTGTTGCCACCCTTGATGAAAGAAACACTTTTTCTTCCAGCTTTTGGAATATTTTTCCATCCCTTTGGCAAGACCTTGGGTTAGAGACATACTGAAAAAAAGAACATCTCCACCCCACCTATTTTTTTAAAGAAAAGACTTTTTCTTTCCACTTATGATGGACTTCAGTTCTGCAGCTCACTCTAATGCCAATCAGTGCCAAGCACGGGCTGCCTGAAGATAGTTTTTTAAGGCTAACTGGATGATCTCAGACCCTGGTTTACTGCCAACCTCCCAATCAGTCTGTGATAAAGGCTGTATTTGGAATTGTGTATTTTTCACACGTCCTCCCCAGCTGCAGTCTCATCACTACACTAATTCTACTCTTTTTCTTTGTAACTGTTCCCTACCTTGCTTGTAGAAATATGATGAGGATGAGAGGGAGGGAGTATGTTTCTAGCACCCAGTAGGGTGAATCAACCACCATATCCAGCCTTGACAGGCACCAGATGCCAACTTGGAGCAAGACCTTCGAGCACAGCCTCCTGGACACCCAGTGCCA